CGGGAAAATATTTAACAACAAGCACCAATGCAGTCTCTCTACCTTCGTCTTCGCTGCTAACGCTGCCATCTGCTAGCAGCAACACGCCGCTAACCGTTAGCAGGATTCGCTACAGGCCCTCCCTCCCAGCCTCCGGCCAACGACTTCCTTTCGTTCTTGTTTGAGGTGCATTTGAGTACCTCAACCCCCAAGTTGAGAACCGCTGCCTTGGGTTAAATTATGAACCTTAAATATCCCTCATGATAAGCCTTAAAATACATTTTCTCAGGATTGCACAGCTGATGCACTGAACTTCACTGCTAATATGTCATTGTAGACATATTTGCAGTGTGAGATAATGCTATGCTTCGATGTAATTTGGAATTCAGTGTTCAGCTTGATTCCATAATACAGATCACAATACGTGCATAGCTTTATACAACCACCTTTCAAAGCAAAAATATCTAAAGTAGAGGGTCACGTTTGGGGAACATAACTCTATGAAAAATGCCATTAGCAGGATCTAAACACAAAATAACTAGAATTCATTTAATATGAGGGACCTGGGGGTGTAAATTTACTCTTTCTGTATGTGGGCATGCTTTCTCATTTATTCCTGTGTGTGTAGTTTCTAATAAGGCTTTGAGCTAGTATAATGGCTTCAAAGGTTCAAGCAGCGCCGTGTGAACAAGGGAAAAGTGCTGCCTGCTGGATTGTGTATTAAGAGGCCAAGATCCTAATGGATGGCTGGTCTGCAATAGGTTTTCTAGTCTTTTGTACGCTGCCTCATGGGAGGTGCGGCGCATAGTGCACTCATGGACTTCCTACCACTCTGCCTCTCTTCATCATCTGTCTCTCTCTCTCACACGAGGCAATTCAATTTCTTTCTTTCTCTTAGACAGACAGCCATGCTCCCTTACATGATCACTTCATGATGTGCAATCAGCACTTCTCGAAGCAAGGCACAAAGAGAGATGAGCCAAAGATGAAAGAAAAGAGAAGGACGACGAGGGTGGAGAGTCAAAGACGGGGCATCCTTTACCTCGTGGGGAACTATTAGATTAGTGTAGGTCAGGTCAGAAACATTACAGATGCTGCGGTCGTCCGTTCTCTACGTCCATTTCAATTCATGATTCAGCTAAGTGGACCCTGTGACTGTTTATGGTCGCTTACATAAATTGACTGCCATAAAGCTGGCTCGATTCGACTTCATTATACAGGACGCCATTTACAGTAACTACCGTGCCACCACAGGCCATCTAACGGTCAATCCTTATCCAGTGACAAGTGTGTACTTTCTGAAAAGAGACAAAGCTTCAGCATATGGTGCTGGCAAAAAAATACAATTAAAAAAAAATTAAATAAAAAAATCATCCCTCCTTCACTGATTTCACACTTCCAGCAAAGAACTAAACAACAGCCATTATCTTGCACAGGTAAAATACACAGCAGAAGGTGTTGATAGAATGTAAGAAAAGAGCCTGCAGTTTAACATCTCTATTCTGCCGCCATCAATCCGCCGAGCAGTCGTGTTTCTCTCCCAAGGTGTGACACAACTACACCAACAACTAATTGTCCCTAGTCTCTTGGCAATTATTGGGATGTAAGAAAAACAAAATGCTTGGCTGGATTGATGGGCTAATCAATGAGAGCGTAACTATGGCAACAGGCTGTCAGGCTTTAATTGGATATTTCCGGCTCTCTGAGTCAAATTGATCGAGACTGGGAGCGTCCCGAGATCCTAATTCAGTTGCCCTGATACTGTTAAACCAAAGAGCGGGGAAAGATTGTGTGGATCAATTTAGCTCGCTGTAGCTTTCTAACTACGGGCAAAACGTGAATAAAGAGTCTCTGCAAGGCTTTTCACAACAACAATGCTGGCGTGCTGATGTTTAAGAGACTATCACAAGCCAATGTCACGAATTAAGATCAACTTCAATATAAGTCCAATCCTTTGTTTGAATACATCCATCCATCCATTATCTATACACCGCTTAATCCTCACTAGGGTCGTGGGGGGCTGGAGTCTATCCCAGCTGACTTAGGGCGAAGGCAGGAGACACCCTGGACAGGTCACCAGTCTATCACAGGGCCACACTTAGAGACAGACAACCAAGCACACTCACATTTACACCTATGGACAATTTAGAATCACCAATTAACCTCAACATGTTTTTGGACCTTGGGGGAAGAAGCTGGAGAACCCGGAGAGAACCCACACTGCACGGGGAGAACATGCAAACTCCACGAGGAAAGATCCCGGGACATGAACCGCCGACCTTCTTGCTACAAGGCAACAGTGCTGACCACCAAGCCACCTTGCAGCCCTGTTTGAATACACTGACACACAGATGCCAGAAAAAGAGAGTACAAGTTGTGGAGGAACGCTTTGCATAAAAAAAATAAAAATAAAAAAAAACACCAGTTCTTGTCTGAGGACATTAAGCGTAACAGAAGTTTCTGTCGTGGTATCTGATATTCGTTCAACTCCCACAATGCTCTCCTCTCACCAAGACAGAACTGCCCAAAGTCCAAGAGACTGCCTGCTTGGGTCGCTACAGTATTGAATAGTAAGTCAGTAACCAGGTACTAGAGCTAATGTAAAATTAATTCTCTGATGTGTAGGAAGAAAATACAGGTCTTCTTTTAGAGCTTTTGGACCCTCGGTACTCCCTACCTTTGCCACATTACATTTCAGACAGTTTCCTAACAATGTTCATGACCCTCTACAAAACGTCAAGGAAGAGCTTGAATGCAGAAATGCCTTTTTTTCCCCCACAATGCATTGTAGAGCTATTCAACTGTCAAGCTTGTACACTGAATTTTTTGTAATAATATAATGTGCTTGAAGTGTGTTTGATATAGAAAAGTAACACTTTAGCAAGTTAGCATGCCATTACTATGTAATAAACACAAGTATGGCTGAGGCTAGTGGGAGTGTCGATAGTTTTGTAGGCATTTGCTAATAAACCGGAGGAATGGACAAACTATTTGTTTGATCCAATAGTGACAATCGACGAAAATGTAATGGATCAACACAGTTCTTCTCGCGCGGGACACAAATGTGTGAACTTCATTTCCTTGCTCAACATCAAACAGTTGTTTAAGTATTTCAATCAAAACCACAACTGTAAAGCTCATGATTGTGTTGGAGGACTAGTCAGGGATTCCTTTAAATAAGAAAGATAAATCTTCAGGGAGCCATGAAAATCTGAAGAAAACTTACTCATCCATCTAATATATGTTGACGTACTTCTCTGGTGAAAAAGCCAAAAACCTGACTAGCAGGCAGCACTAAATAAAACAGGAAAAATTCCAAGAGTTCATCCTCTAGGGAACATGAATGTCTAGAAAAACACGTCTGGCATTCTAACAAATAGTTGCAGGGTTTTTCTACACAGAGGATTTTTGGCATCCCCCAAGAAAAATGATCAAAATGTTAAGAATCGACAACAAAAAATAAGATTCAAAGTCTTCAACCTGTTTCCGACTGTCCCTCAGGGCCCTTCTGAGCCTGAAAAACCCTTCAGATGTTGAGTGATTTCAGTCCGGATCAAAGTGTTGATCAACCTGACTGATCCACACTGGCTAACACATGTTGTCAAAAGATTGTACAACATAAGAAGATTTAACTACAGGTGTTCTGTGTGGTTTGCACCAATAAAAAAAAAAGAAAGAAACCTAATCTGACATAACCTCACAGCTCTTCCAAGGTCTTCGAATTGTCCGGTCAGCCGTTCAACAAGGCAGAGTTCATCTACATGAGGTCAGGAACATTTTACCACAACATGGAAGCACTGGCTTTGTGTGCTGCTCATCGTAGCATTTTCCTTCTGTTGGGTTCAGACAAATGATCCCTGAAAGCAGTCGGTATGGGTTAGATAAGAGGGCAGATTAGGCCTCAGCTGTCGCAGAGACAAAGGTTTCCTTAACGTTAAAGCTAAACAGGGTCATTTGTGTCAAAACAGCAAAATGTGATACACACTGTGATGCTTTGAAAAAATGTGTTTTTTTGGTCGTAGCAGCCCAAACAGGTAATTTTAAACTGAGTAATCTAGCTGGATGATGTCTGGTTACATTGGATCAGTGCAAGGCCTGAAGCAGTGGCTGTGTTCCAGCGTCTGTTCTGACGTAAAATGAAGAGAAGCAGATTGTTGCAGTGTTTCCCTGAGCTCCGGCCACTGTGCTGGGAGAGAGCTCGCAAACAATTTGCATTTTGTCTTCCTATCTCAAACGACAAAATCAGCAACTCAAAAGGGTCGCAATGACTACAAGTAAGCAACAGAACAAACACAGTTTTGCACTAAAATGTGCATTAGTTTCACAGTAAAGACTGGAATTGTGAGATGTTTTTTTTTCTTTTCATGGTATCCACAGCATGTGACTCGTGAGTTAATTTTACTTCACACATAAAAAGTGCAACAAAGCTCACATAAGGCGGACTGGAGGTGGCATAAAATGCTGAACTGTCACCCAGGAGAGGGCTTGAGTCTTGTGTGGGATCATTCTTTTGTGGCGTTTTTACACACTTAACTTCTTTTTTGGTCAATTTCATTTGGGGTTTCGCTCTGATTACCCTTTTAAACTACTTTTGTATTTACATTTATGCACCAAAACTACTTGGTTATGTTCAGAAACAGAAAAAAAGTTTGGTTACAATAGTTGTTTACTTCTGTTTTCAGTCACTGTTTGCTTTTGTTTATACTACAAAGATATTTGGTTGAGTTTAGGCACCAAAACTACTTTGCTAGATTTAGGAAAGGATCATAGTTTGGTATGATGCAACTGCTAAGATGACAAGTCCCGTCACAACAACAGCTCCTAGAAAATGCAAACATCTTACAATTTTTTTCTTTTCTGTAAAAAAATAACGTGGACAAAAGCAGTTATTACACTTTTTTTGTTGGACTGGGCTGTTACATCCCCGTGACAAAAGAGGCAATCAGCAGCCTTCATCCCACACTAAACTGATTACCTTAAAGCAGCAAAAGGTTGCCACAAGGTTGTCAGATTACACTCACCTTCAGGGCTTGGGAACGATTATTTAGCAGTTTCTCTATGTTCCCTGCTGCCGTTGCCACCAGTTCTCTCGCATTATTGGTCTCCACGCTGAAGTGAGTTCTGTGTTTTCTGTATATCTGGAACAATCACAAGAGAAAAGCTTGGGTTAGGGATGTAACCTGAACGATGTCATCAAAAGTCAAAATGCCGTTTTCTACTGAAAGCAAACAGGAATGCAAGTATTTCATACGTTCTTAAGAGGTTTTTCTCTCAGAACATTGGCCTTAACACTGATAAGCACCTAGAATTATGTACAAAATGTCATTATTTTATTTGACAACACATACTTTATGGATTAAATCAGGATCTTTATCAAACAGTTGCGACCCTCTGAATCCCAAAATCCACCTGCCAGTTAAAAGTGTATGTTATCGTTTTTTTGGGTTTTTTTTTAAAAAGCAAAAAAAACTTGCCAAAATGACACCATTTACTTGAGTCAAAAACAGTAAAAACACTTATATTTGTAAGATTTCCAGATTTTCAACGGTCCTTGAACTACACATTTGTGTTAAAATCTCTATTCTATATGGAGTCACAACTTTTTCCAGGATTGGAAACAGCTGTTGGCACTTGAAAAACGTATTGTACATGTTTTTTCCCCCCCCAATTGTTTTGTTAAATAAATAAAGAAATTACACTTTCATATTCTTCTTTTTTATGATTTATGGATTTATAGCTTGGTCACGCTGCACAAAAGATATTTCGAGTTATTTTTGTTTCTCGTCATGGTTGTGCTGTTTCCGTAGAGGTGCATACTGCAGTGAAAAAAAGCCAGCACACAGTGAGTAAAAGAAAATGTGACAGGAGCAAATAAACAGCTGAGGGGTTCAGAGGGTTAACATTTCGAGTCTTGCATTTTCTATCCACGGACAGATTTACTATATCTGGAGTCAGGAATGTCACTCGGCATAAGTGGTCATCTTCCATTGTTCATCGAACGTCACCGACCAAAGGACAGCGATTAAAAAAAGAAAGATACACATCCACTGATTAAATTGCGATGTCAGGTTACGTAACGAGACCATTTACTGCGCGATGGAATACGCTCCAGCAGGAGGAATAAGAAACACAAATGCCAAACAGCCAATTATTTAGCAGCCTAAAGGGATTTCACTGTCCGACATTCAAACCGCAGAACTGAGGGATGTGCATGTATTTGTCTTCATCCTGCAGGCATCTGATGTGTTTTGCTTTAGTGCAGTAGTAGAATGTAATACTGGGAAATTGTACATTTGGTTTGTGTTTCCGGTTGAAAAAAAAAAGGGTGCATCTGTGTGCAAACAGCCACAAAATGGGACTACCATGAACAACAGTTGTATTTTAGATGACGAACTGCACAGACAAGCTGCATAATTTCTCCACATACATTATTAATCAAGCTGCGCAGCGCTCCTTTTAAACTCTACATGCCTTCAACATTACACCGCGTTTCCAACAGCAGACGTTAAAGCGGATTTGCACAAAATATTGCCAAATACGAGTCAAGTCATACCGCCACGTCGAGTGAAAACATGTTTTGTAATGATTCCAGTGATGCTTTAAAGCCGGCTGATTTTATTCTCGAAGGGAGCCAAAGTGCCAGATGCATTATGTCAATCAATGTGGCTCTAAAAAGCTTCTTCTCTGTTGTCAGATGTGGGCTTGGGCGTGGGTGTGTAAGTGTGTGTGTGTGTGTGTGGGTGTTTAAGTGTGTGTACGGACTACAGCCATCACAGTAAAAGTCGTGACGCTGATCATATCTGAGCGTGTACATTGTGCTGGCAGAATGAAATGATGCAGCGTTATGTCTAATGAGAAAGCGACTATATATAGTCTGGTGATATGTTGTGACAGCTGAGGTCGCACGAGGAAGGTTAATGAGAGCGAGAGAAGCAAGTGGCGGACAGTACACATGATATTTCTCATCGATACTAAATTGATGCCGTGGATTTCATTTGAAGTCGAGCTGAAAACCGCTTGCAAACTGTAATTACAGATAGAAGTAAATGTCCTACTCACACTCTCAGCTCTGGTAATTTGAGTTCTATGATATCTGTGTGGGAGTCTAAAGATAGTTTGTTATATCACTTCAGTTTCAATGGCCATAAGAGCAGCTCGGTCGCTAACTTTAGCCTTTGGTGAGACCTCTATGAGGTTTGTGATTCAGTTCATACAATGAGAGGATGCAGGAAGACTTGTTGCTATGATGTTTTGACAGTCAAATCGGAACAATAAAAGAAAGAAAGCTCACATTAGCTACCACCTGTAGTCTCTACAATATGAGAAGAATACGGGCCTGAATAGGTTCGACTGACATAACCACATAGGGCTGAAACAACTCAGCGATTATTAAAATAGTTGTTAACTAATTTAGTCATTGATTAGTTTTTTTACCATAAGCGGCCCACTTTTTTTCAAATCTTAAACCAATCTGTAATCGCAGCTCCCAAAGTGTGGCAGTAATGAGCCACCGGTGGCTGTAATCTACCAGCACAGCAGGAGAAACAGCCAACAGCCAACAGTTGGCCTTGTTTTATGTCATGTGTTCCACAGCGCAGTCAATGCATTCAGTGAGGCGGCTGGAGAAAGTTTAAAGAAAAGGGAGAAAAGAGATAAATTAGGAGAGAAAACTTCACAAACAAAGTCATCCAAAGTGTTGGAACACTTCACACTAAAGCTATCAAAAAAAAAAAAAAGAGCAACCAGCAAACTTTGCAATAACAAAAAAAGTTTTTTGGGTTGTTTTTGTATCTTGTTTGACAATTTTACCTCATTTTTTGTGTTTGATGCATTGAATTGAAAAAAAAGCTTTAAACTGACCAGGTCAGTACAGGACTCCAGACTGCAACCTTTTTTTTGAGAATCCATCCATCCATTATCTATACACCTTAATCCTCAC